CACCTCCCCTATCATTCTTAGATTATCCATGCTCCTGAGAAAATCAGGTTATGAATCTTACGCTTCAGTGCCTTACATTTTCAGCGGAATGTCTGAAGCTTCCTATGTGATATCAACATCATGGACCTCAGGGAATTGGGACTCTTTTCTCAGACTATTCTGGCAAGTTCAGTCCTACAACCAGCTGAACAACCTTCCATCGTGTTATTTCAACTTGTTGTTTCTATTCTTGATGTGATTAGGAACACTTCATCGATTCTTCCATAAATTGGTTCCATGCTTTTATGAATGCTTAAATCAAATGTAGATGCAAAATGCAAAGATGCAAATGCAGATGCAAAAATGTTGATCCCAACGTTGAATATCATAGCCCAATTTTCACTAGAAATAAAAGCTTTCACATTACAAGACAGTCCACTTTACATACATGCCTTCGTTTATATGCTGAGTCTGAAATGGATCATTGTTTCGTCTCGGATCTTCATTCTTGAAAATGATGCCTCTCAAGCGTTCTGTAACCTAACTCGGTTGATACCCCTACGGTGGTAAAGTCGGTGCGTCACTCCTTGATAAATATCGATGAAATAATTACAAATGAGAATCTACTGCTTGATTACTCTTCGGCCCAATGAATCATCGTTTCAGTCTCGAATGTTGCATAGTCTTCGAGCTCACTGCTTCGTCTTGAATCTTTGTATTTGGAACTGATGCCCATCAATGCTCTGTAACCTAATTCCGTTAATTCCCCGACGGTGCTGTAATAAGTGCGTCACTCATTGTTGACTAGAGATGACATGATTATAGATAAAACTCTACCACTAGATTACTCTTCGGATCAATGAATCCTTCTTTCAGTCTCGAATGTTGCACAATCTTCGAGCAAATCTCATTTTTGTGTTCTGAGCTTCTTTTAACCCGCAGTGCATGTCTGTATACGAGACTGCTTGATTGAAAACTTTCACTTCTTCTTGTGAAAATTTTCTCTTGACTATCTCCTTGCGGATCAACATTTTCTCATTATGTCATGTCAATGTAATGCAAACAATGATGAAAAATAACACAAGCAAGTGAGAAACAATGAGTTAGTAACACAAACACCAGAGAAAAACGAGTTAGTACAAACGATAATCGATAGAGTTAAAAGATGATATCTACAGATAAGTATAACACCTACCCCGTCATGATATCTACCCTAACATGCTTTAATTAAATAACATTCCTGCCCATACATGCTATCTACCCAAAATGATTTTTCGAGAAATTAATCCTAACTGCATGGTATCTAGTTCGCATGCAATTATTTAACAAAATTTAAAGCAAAAAAGAAAGGTTCAGAAACAATCCTTCTTTGTGTATACCTAATTTGGGTACTTATTGACGGACAGAGGTTTGGTATATCTATACCTAGGGTGACCGTTCTACGATGTATTATATGCATGGTTTAGGCTCTAACAGAAAATAGGGACTCGAATTGTCCTTGAAGTCGGTGCCCCCTTGGGCTGTCAGACCCTCGATCCTCACCTATTACAGGTTTCGAACGGAACGAGTTCAATTCGAGGGAATTCATTTCCTTATACCCATACGAGGAATAAATCCCTACGAATGTATAAGGTATATATCCCATGGGTTATTTACTAAAACTCGTACGAAGAATAAATTCTTACGAGAGTAAAGCATTCACCCGACTAATTTGGATCGAAGCTCGTGTCTAGAGCTTATGTCATGCAAATGCACGTGATGTGTGTGAGGAGGAGCGTACCTATCTTTGACTCAAAAATGAAAGAGAGATAAAACTTGACAAAAACTTGGATCGATCTGAAAGCGAAAATTCAAGTGTTAGTATGACAGTTAAAAATGAAGCAATTAAAAACCTCAATAAACGGATCATAAGTTAATTAAATACTCGAACTCATAATTTCCACCAAGACGACAAAGTGTAAGCGACTTAGCCTGACTCTCTAAAAAAAAATCCCTAGCAGAGTTGTCAAGCTGTCATAACCATTTTTTTTTGAAAAAACAATAAAATATTATTTTAAAAAACGATTATAACTTTAATTTGGAAAAATTGGTGATTTGAAATTAATTTGATTTAAATTGAAAGGGAGTCACCATTGACCTTTGGGTTAGGTAGGTCAAATACCCAAAAACGTCTTTTAAAAACAATTTTAAGAAAAATCATTTTTTAAGACAAAAATGGTATGCGTTTACAAAGATTACTTTAAAACGGGTTCGGAAGTCGATTACGCGTGGGGAAGGATTAACACCCCACAACGCCCAAAACTGATACTGTGTCGCTTACACGTTGTCGTACATAGTGAAAATTATAAATTGAATATAAAGTTAAATTACGATCCATTTATCGAACATTAATTTGCTTCGAATTTACTATTTAAAGAGAATCCTTTAATTCAATAAAAAAAAAACCTTGAAATTAGCAATCCTCCGTCAAGAAAGCTATTTCAACTATTTTTCATTGTTAAAGAATATTCTATCGTCAAATATGTAAAAGATGTATATCAAATATAAATGGCAAATTGACAGTTGCGGAAAAATAAAATACATAACTTGCATTATTCAGTGTACAGTAAAAACGACTTAACAATTAACAAACTAAAATTGATTTATTTCAAGTTCCATTTAGTTCAAATGTCGTATTAGATTGTACCACTTCGATCAAGTGATACTTTCCATGTCCGTTCTACAAATCTTTGTTCTTGAAATCATTTGGATAAAATAATCAAAATACATTACTATTAAGTAAAAGTGACAAATGGATATTTTATAAATTAAAATAAATACATAACATAAAAATAAAAATACAATACACAACAACATGTGATGGTTAAAAAACATATATAAATGTATATACATACATATAACACAAAATAATATACATCCATGAAGTATAAAAACAGAATGCGAAAATCAAACACCATATTAAAGTTTATAAAAAACTGAATAATTACAAAATGTTTAATAGATACATTAATATTTAATATACATATATGTATATTAGAACAATGGCTAATGGATACGAAGTGGGAATTAAAAATTTAAACTAAACACATATCTCGCATTAATCATAAAAGACTAAAATGAAGAGTAAAATAAATATAGTGACATATATGTGAAATAAACAAACTCAAAATAAGGATTGGATAGAGAATTAACAAATATAGAGTGATTGATAAAAATAACATAAACAATGATTAAAATTAACAAATCAAAAACTAGCTACTCAAATAAAAAATATCGACAAAATAATGAAAAAAATAGAATCAATTAAGGACTAAGTCATAAGAACAACAATCTCACTAGCACGCATGTAAACACAGTAAAAATTATGGTTCAACACCCAAATCTTATACAGTATGAGCATTAGAAACAAAATAAATCCATAAATAGCATTTGGGACTAATCTGAAATAAACAAAAACATAAAGGCCGAATCAAAATTAGACCAAATATAAAATAATGAATAAAATAATATATTCAAAACTAGCTCAACAAAAATCAAACACCAACAAGAATAGTATAATACATAAAAAGTGACTAAAATGAACTAACAAGAAAATATAATGCATGTATAAATAAACTAAAGTTTGATGGATCGGACACAAATATAACCACAACAATATTTAAAAGCAAATAATGACGAAAATACAACAAAAATAAAATAAGAGCTCAAAATGAAATGATGAAATTTCATTAAAGTGGTCAGATTACAACCATTACACAAGATATAGGGACCTTAACTGTGATTTACCCAGAAATGTTAAGAACCCACACGTAAGATTACAAAGCCACAGGGATTAAAAGTGTAGTTATCCCATAAATAAAAAACACGGATGGGGTTGGGGAGACAAAACGACTGCGTATAAGAGTAGGGATATAATCCCTTTTAGGGGTTTACTTTAAAACCCTAAATCATTTCCCAAACCCCCTTCAGCCGTGCTCCCTCTCTTCTCCACTTCCCCCTCTATTCTCCTTCAACAGACGAGGAAACCCAAAAAAACACCACCCCTCGACAGCTCTGATGAGGGGCTTTCTTATACCAAACAGCCCCCTTAAGCCTCGATTTAGAACCCCTTACCCTTCATTCCCCTTAAATCAAACCAAACAAAACCCTAACCCTCTAAATCTCCCCTTTTAACCCCTTCTCTCAAGCAAATAAAAACCCAAAAAAGTAAAAGGATTACCTTCGGTGCTCAGACGACCCTCCTAACTCCGACGAAGCGTCGATGACCACTCGTTCCCGAAAGGTAAAGTCTCCTTTTCCCTTCTTTTCCTATTTTCTCTCGGTTTCTCTCTTTTTTCCTGTGAAAATCCCCCTCATTTTTTTTTTCAGTATTTATTTTTTTGGTTTTTCCCTTATCTTCTCTCCTCTATTTCTCGTTTTATATTGCTTCCCTGCTTTCTTTGATAGTTCCTGCTACCGAGGAAGAAATAGGGTATGAATACCCTATTTCGGCTAGAATGATAACCCCTGATTGTTTTGGGAGCTTTTGTCCTTATTATATTTTTTTTATTTCTTTTGTCCTTCCATTTACACTGTTGACGTCTCATTTTGACTGATGAGAGTGATTTCTATCACTGCAGATGAGGCGACGACATCAGAAGTGGTCGGAGATGGGATCAGCAACATTCGGTGGTGATAATAGCTAGGTTTAGGGTTTTAAACCCTAAATGGCTCTTGATCTGGATCGTTGATTTGGGTCCAAATCTAAGGGTTGATATGATACAGCACTGGTAGCTGAAGAAAAGAAACCCTAGCGAGTTTGGGTCGGTTACTAGGCCTGGATCTCGGGTTAGGCTCTGATGATCTTGTACTGGGTTGATGGGTTATGCTCTGGGTATTGGGCCTCGGGTTAGCTTGTTTGGGCTCCTTTTGGCCTGCACAAAATATGTAATAATATAAATAATAATAATAATAATAATAATAATAATATTATATAAATAATAATAAAAAAGACCCGGACAAAAACGGGTGTCTACAACTACTTCTTCAACACCCTCACACCCATAATTTCCTTGTTCAATTTCCTGTTTTCCATCCTCTCCTTCCGTTGCCAGGTTCTTTAAAAACCAGGGATGCTGGTTGATTTCTGGTATGCTTATCCTCTACGAAAGATTGCGATTCAAAGTCATATGAAGAACACTGTTAAATACGCTTGAACTCGTAAAAATGTTGAAAATCGTATGGACCTTTTCGGGGTCTGCTACAAAAATCCTGGATAGTAGATGCTTGCAGTCCTTGGAAAGTCGAACATAATCAGGTATAGAATAATGGACACTTAGAATCCGCTGTCGAAATCCGATTGCATCAGATTTTTTTTTAATCAAAACCTTCATATTCTCACAAGTTATGGAAAAGGGCAGCTACCAACTAACCTGAATTGTTTTTCTGAAGTTTCTTGGATCTTCAGGGTCTTCAAAAGGATAAGCTCCAACCAGCATGACATACAAAGTAACCCCACAAGACCAAACATCTGCAATCTGGAATTCTTTTTTGTCAAAGATTAAGCACCAATGGAAGATTTTCGAGCAGCAAACTGAAGTCTTGATAAGAATTTTTACCTTGCCATCATATTCTTTTTTAGACAGGACCTCTGGGGCAATATAAGCTGGGGTTCCTACAGTTGATTTGGGCAACACACTTGACTGCAATAAGCAGTGGAAAGTTAATAATAGAGCTTATATATATGTAGAGCAGAAGCATATGTTTATTGCCTTAGAGTAGCCGAAGTCACATATTTTGAGTCGTGGTGTAGCGTTCCCATCTAATAGAGTGTTTTCCAGCTTCAGATCTCTATGACAAATTTGCTTTGAAAATGGAGATAAAAACTTCAAGTTAAGCTTTAGATAGCCCAAAAAATGGCAATTTTTTTCCAGAATTAGGGGATTTGGTTAGTGTGTATTATATGTACCATTGCATGGCAATAACTCACTCCTGATATCAGTTGTTGAAAGAAAAAACTTGCCTGATGCAGTAAAACAATAACAGTGAGCCAAGAATGAAAAGAGAAAAAAATTAGAAAAATGTTTATAAAAATTTACCTCGTCCTCACTGAATCTACCAGCATTGCATATTCTTTCAAAAAGTTCTCCTCCAGCTGCATATTCCATGACTATGGCAAGATGTGTTGGTGTCAACAGAACCTGAAAGGAATAAAAAAAAAGAACTGAAGAAGAAGAAGAAGAAGAGGAAGAAACACCACTTGAAGGGCTGCAAATCATAAGCAATTTCAATTTGACTGCTTCATAGAGTTGTTTGCTGTTTGGGGTTGAACCAAAACAAACCAGGGAAGGGAGCCCTGTTGTAGGTCACAAACACCCTGTGAAACATATATATTACCTCTTTGAATCTTATTATATTGGGATGCTTCAAAGACCTATGGTTCATAATCTCCCTTTCCACATGCTCATCAATCTGCATATCCAGGAAAAAAGAATGACAACCCAAATTAGGCTCTGAATAAACAAAGCCAAGTGCAGATGAATGAAGCTTTGAGGTAAGTAGGTAGTACCTTGGGGCCTCTTTCAATATACTTGACAGCAAAAAGCTCACCACTTTGTTTATCCCTAACCAGCTTAGCAACACCGAAGTTGCCTGATCCAATATCTTTCAGTATCTCATAACGCTCCATTTCCCAGAGCTGACAGCAGCTGTATTAGTCTTGTATGTTGCAGCTAATGAATAAATATATAAGCTTTACTATCGAGTTGGATGATTTTCAAGGACTTTTCTTGATGTCTGATGAATGGTGAAAGCAAAGGGCAAAGGATGATATGAAATGAGGGTGTCAAACTGGGGTCAACTCCAGAGAGAGAAGCAGACATTACACGTGGGAGATAATCAGAGGTTAGAGATTGAAGAAGAAGTTGCCTACCGACGTGGCTTGCTTTCTGGGTTATGTCTGGTTTCGGCTACCCCCACCATCTGCCTTTCTTCCTGCTTATCATTTGTCGCAAAATAGTAGTATTTTAGAATAATATCAAAAACTATTTTTAACGTTAATCAATTTAATTTTGATAATATTAAATATTTGCCTTTTTATTATATGATATATATTTATACAACTAATTTTATACTTAAACTTATAATGTAGGGACAAAAGATATCATTTTAATTTTGATTAATATTAAAATTTATGTATAATCTGTAAACTCTATTTTTTAATCATATAAAAAATATTTTCTATCAATTATGTAGTTTTTTAATCTGTAAACTCATCATGTGTAGCTTTTACAATTAGTGGGAACTATTTTTATGTGGATATCAAATGGCTTATGTTTAAAAGGAAAAAAATCAGAATCGACGGTTGGTAAGGCGAGTAGCAACGTATTCTAATGACGTGGACGGTGGAGGATGGTTCCTAAAATTATTTTGCATTTTTTTTAGTTTATTGTAAGTCTAGTTTTCATCTTTGGAAAATGAAACGAGATTGAAAAAGATAGCTAAGGGAAGCAAGCATATATGTCTTTCAAAACACAATGTATCCGCCGCCCATCAATTATCATTCACTTCCGTTGCCCTTTGAATTTATCCATCACATGCTCTTTTTATAGGATAAATCGAAATTTGATTCTCTTAAATTATGTTAAGGGTAAATTATATGAAATGTTACTAAAGTTTGAGTAAGTTTGTTTTTTCTCGTTAAACTTTTAAAAGTTACATATCGATCATTAGTATGATCGATTTGTTACAAAATGATCACTTGATGTTAACTAAGGAATTATTGTCATTCCTTAGCGTTTCTAAGTTTATTAATAATTGAATGAATGTAGGCATAGCTCACCTAAAATAATTCGATAATTAGTTTTAATGGAATCAACTAACTCAAAATCACATAATTTTGGTTAATAATTATGCATTACTTTTAAGTATTGTATTAGACATATATCGAGCATGAAAACATGATATTTTAAAGACCATGTGAATGTATAAAAGGTTTTTTTTAAAAAGAAAAAATTGGACATAGCCGCAAATCTATGTAACATAAATCTTTTTATTAGAGCTAATCGCTTACTAAATCAGAACGTGTGGGACGTGAATTTGTAAAATTTTAAGAGTGAATTTATAAAATTTTAAGGAATAAATATAATTTTTTAATAAAAAATATAAATAAAATATTATAAAATTTTAAGGAATAAAAATAAATTTTCAATAAAAAATATAAATAAAATATATAAAATATATGATGATTTGAATTTTTAGAGGAACAATTATCTCTTTGTATAGATAAAGCTAGAAGAGTCAGATAGTGGTCTTGATATGGAATGAGGGGTTGGTGTAATTTAATTAAATTTTTATATTTGTTATTAATAATTTTTTTTGTTTTTCTAAAAATTTATAAATTCATCTCTTAACATAAAATCATATATCGAACCCTAATTTTAATCCTTTCTAGAATAAAAATTTAGCTAATAATTTCTTCCGAAATCATATATTTATAAATTAATCTAATAATAAAAAACATATCTTTTTAACGCAAAGCTTTGTAAATTCATTATCACCCCGCGATAAAAATCATGAACTTGTCTCTGATCACACACTTATGTGCCGGTTAAAAATTAGCTTTTATAGTGGGTTGAACCACTTCCTCGTCGTGCATCTCAAAGTTGGATTATGGCTTTATCTAACTCTCCCATAAAGAAGATCATAGGCTAGAGCTTTTAAGTTGTGCTGGTCAGAGACGGTGAAGGATTTTATGTTAGAAGGACGAACTTAAATTTAAGGTGACGAATTAAAATTCTGGGGACGAAAACAAATTTTAAATAAAAAATACATACAAAATCTAAAATATATAACAATTAAATTTTTAGGAGACGGTGGGCCTCGGTCCCTGGTGTTGGTGTTATAGCATCGGAGGATCCAATTTTTTGTTTAGGGTAGACATGCATATACTCTGAAACCCAAATTTTTTAATATTTATTTATTTTATTGATTGTGTTAATCTTAAAATCAAAACAAGAAATGGAAGTTGAAGCTTTTAAGCTTCTTGTCCAAGTGCATTCCAGCACAGCAATGGCCCGACGATTTCGGTAAAGTGAACCGCCCTACATTCCTTCAAAGCAAAGCTTCATGCCCTCAATCACGGATTCCCATACTCATCGTCTATGCCTACTCTACTTAAACCATACAAAGAAGAACCAAGCAAAGCCCTCCACAAAAATGGAAATCCTGCAATGCTAAGCATCAATAAAGACTGGTATGGCTCAAGGAAGCAATTTAGGGAGAAATCAATTCTTTGATGATATAATTGGCCACCACAAATTTTTTATGCACATTTTATTTTTATTTTATCAAACTCTTTTTTTTAAGAATTAAAGCTTTTATAGTTTGATTATTAAAGAAGAAGAATACATATTCCATGTGGAAATATTATTATGTATGTTTGTCTTTTTTTTTTAGTTATTTTTAAGATAAAAGTCTTGTATATGAAAACAAATGGGTTGGGTCGGTTATTAGTAATTCACCTCCTTTAGTTTAGACAGAGAGTCGGAACTAGTTAAAAATCGACCATTGATCGGTATATACAGGGATGGACTGAGGGTGCGGGTAAGGCAGTCGTATTTCCTGAAAATTGAAAATTATTATATATTTTAGATTTTTTCTATGTATTTTCTATTGAAAATTTGTTTTCGTCCCATAGAATCTTATAGGTTCGTCCATTCTTAAAATTTTCGAAGTTCGTCCCCTAACATAAAATCTTCCGTTTGTCCTTGGGTAAAGTACGATACTTATCGACCAAATTCACTATTCCATACTCACCAACATACTTATCGAACAAAGATTTTTTCATTATTTCCAATTCGTCCTGTAATATTAACATAATTCGAATTTATAAACAATAACAAAGAAAATACTATAAATATTCAAAGTTTAGTTGTTCTGGACTAATTTGTTTAATCTTCAAAGGATACCACATCATTTGTTTATACTTAGCAATGATAAGTGTTGTTGGAGAAGAAAAGGGAATTAAGAAAGTCCTAAAAATAATATTTAAATTTTATTCTAGGGTAAATTACATAAATAGTCCCTCGACTATAGAATATTATTTTATTAAGTTCCTTGATTATTAAAAGTTACAAAATGATCATTCCATTATCGGAGTTGCTTTATTGAGTCACTCGACCATTAAAAGTACCAAATGATCACTCGACTATTCATTATGTTCTAAACTCGTCATTTTTCATTAAAAATTAACGGTCACATGAGTTAGACGTTAATATGTTGATCGGGATATGATAGTCGTTTGAGATTATAAGATCATATTTTATCATATTTTAGTCAGCAGGTGTCGACATCGTTTTTCGCCCAGGCGGTGAAAAGCTTAGTATGACTTGGGGGTTTTTTCTTTGAAAAGGTTTAGAAATGTTTTGGAGTCGCCGTCGACCTTTTGAGTTAGGTAGGTCGAATAACTAAAAATTTTCTTTTAAAAGAGTTTTTAAGAAAATATCATTTTAAAAGATAAATCAGCCTACGTGTAACCAGAGATTCATTCTTTTTTGTAATAAAAAGAGGTTCGGGGATCGATTACGTGTGAGGAATGATAATCACCCCCACAACACCCAAAATTGGTACCCCATCAATTATAAATTGTCTCTAATAGTGGAAATCTAAGAATTCGAATACAAATTTAAGTTACGATCCCATTATTCCAAATTCAACCATACAATGTTTATTGAACGAAATATTCTATGGAGGAATAGAAAATATTCCAATATTTCCAATCGGAGAGAAAATAATCCTTAAAATACTTTAAGATGAATATTTCTCTTTCCAACTAAAATTAAAGGAATATAACAATTTCTCCCAAGAATTCGAGATTAAAATAATTTGATTTGATCAAATAAAAATTTAAGCCAATTAATTCAATTTATATATGATTAGAAAAGATAAGGGATATTCAATTATTTAAAAATATCGAGACTTAATCCCTAATAAAATTAAGTGAATTGTCTCGATAAGTTTAAATAAGCGAATATTTCCTTTTCCCTTCAAATTTAATTAATTTTCAACATAATCTATTTTTTTGGGTTTTTTCTAGTAGGGTATTTATTTATTTTAAAACATCGAAATAGGACATCTAGTTACTTTAATGTAACACTCCAACCCGGATACGAATAAGAGATGTCAAATTGACTTTTTAAAACAATATTCTTAACAAAATACATATCATTTGGACTTATATTAAGAAAATATGATAATATATTGTTGAATTATGTTTGTTATAACCAATTTAAGAAAATATATGTTTTATGAATAGTACTATACGGTATGAACATTATCGTCAACAGTAATGAACAGTACCGTGAACATTACCGGATGCTAAAAAATTTTACAGATTGTTGCAAGGGTATCGATACCCTGCTACAGTGTATCGATACCCTTGCTACATAAATTTCGTCCACTTATTAAAAACTCATAAAATTTTAAAACGTTCATCACTATACATTTACCATTTACATATATACGTTTAAAACATTACAAAACTCAATCTTATGATTTTACAAAACCGATTAGAATATATATCGGATTCAAACCTTTATTTACATGCCAACTACCATCAGTATTACAAAATACATATTATTCAATGTTTTTCTGATCTGATCTTTGGAAATGAGGAATTGACATGTCTTACTTAATTTTTATCGTTCTTTCTCTTCTTGGTA